CCCCCCCCCCCCCCCCCCCCCCCCGTCTTAAAAAAAAAAATTCTCCTCAAGGACCCAAAAGAAAACAAGTGATACATCCCTTCTTGATCCTCAATCAAACCTCAGAAAGGAAGACGTCAAATAAAATACCTGAACATCGTAAAATTTGATATAAAACCGAGAACTATCTATAGATAGCTTTGTTTGAAGAATTTCTGCAATTGTTGAACTGAGTTTTCCATTAACACTTGGTCCAAGGCCACCAATTGAGATCAATTCGCCATATGCAGCTGGCTCTTCACTATCAGCAAAAGCTACTGGCACTCCTCCATTCAACAAGATCATCACGTACTGGACAGTAAAGAAGAAAATAAATCAGTGTATGTTAACAAGCGTATATTGTACCAAAAAAAACAGAAAGGGAACTTCTATATGGTCTAAAGAGAAACAATTTTTCTACAGTAATGATGCTAAAAAGCTACTCCATAAAATTTTAAACATAAAAGGGAGGATAAAAGATCAAGGGAACTGGGGGCAAGCTGAATTGAACTTCTCTGGCAAAAACATTCCAGTTGGAAAAATATTGCATATTCATAGAAATAATTAACACACCCAAAGTACAAATAAAATACCTCGTAATGAACATTTTATTATTAATCCTTTTGGTATATGGCTTTTAAATCTCATTCTCACTAAAAAGGAATGAATAATGAGCATGCTTATAAGGAACAACTGAATTATGATATGCATTCAAGCTAACAAATTGAACTTTACAGCACAAGTACATATATTGGAAGAGTGTCTACTAGTACCACACATCATGATTGTTGAAAAAGAAATAAAACCAAAGGAAGGGGTTTAACGAATGAAATTCTTGGGATGAAAGTTTAGGAAGCTCCATGGAACCTAAACCACCAGACCTTTTGTTACAATATTTGAATTGTATTAAATGATAACGGGTTTAATATAACCAGAGAACCTTACATAAGTTTAGCCTATGTAACATCGTCGATAAGAACCAAGTTAGTTTCTGATTGACTAATTGTTAGTTTTACGACTCTAAATGAGTTAAACATCAAAAAGAGGGCCAGTGCAAGAAACTGAACAAGATATGTTGGTGACATCTGGTTGCCTATTGTGATGTTGCTAGGGCATCCTACAGTAACTGGTCACCACCTGCAAAAATTCGGGGCAGGGCAGTTGATTATTTAATAGGCATGTAGAGCCAGAGAGAAACCTTGACTAAACAAACTTACAAAGACATTAATGCTTGTAACATTCCACTTGTTTCTCCACAATAAGACACTAAGCCTACACCAAGGCTAACACTAAACATTTTGCCGCCGACAAAGACTTGTCATCACCAGTTTTACTCAGTTAACTAGTTCTTTGATGCGGACAGTGTTACCTTAAAAAAAATATGGAAAAGGGTTATGTGAAATTGATCTTTCCAACTTTTTCTTCAAATATGAAATTACTGAGACAAAAAAATATGTATGGGCCCTATTGGCTAGTTTCTTTTTTCTTTTTCTTTTTTTAACTACCTACTAACCGTTGAAAAGAAACTAGGAACATAATAAATTGCAGAAAAAGTAGAATCTCTATTTTTAAAACGAAATTACAAACTCGATATCATTGTGCCATAACATTCATCACTCCATTTGCAATCCAAAAAACACTGCCCATTTTTGTTTGATCAATATTAGTTTTCAAACATACTACCAAACCCAAACAGTTGGGAAGTAAACTTCGAAACAAAAGTTTTCAGATATATCATAAAACCATATCCAATAGCATAAAAAGGGAAGAAAAATCAATTTGTGAAACGTTCTAGGAATCACTTTGTAAAGCATTTTTCATTGAGGAATATTATCAAACGCTTGGCAGTCATAATAGCAGAAGCAGCTATAACAACAAAAACTACATAAAAAAGTGCGCAGAGACTTAACAGACTCAGGCTTGCCAATGATCTTAGCAACAGCTTTGGTGGCATCCTTCAGTATGTCAGACGCAACCACCGAGTCTACAGGGACATTGGTGAACAGATTCAGGGTGGGCATGTTTCTCCTTCTGCCTATTTTTCTCAGAATTCTCGCTTGGTACTCGCTAGAAAGAGCTAAGCTTTTTGGTAAATGGGTGGTTTCAAACAAGGAATCAGTAGATAAGAGTGAACGGCTCGTCAATTTTGTTTTAGCTGTCCATGCCAAGACAGTGAGGTGGTGGTTGGATGCTCGGAATTGGATAGGTTAAGAATATTTTTATCTTTACCCCTCCAACCTAATTACAAACATCCACCATCACTGAGCGGAATATTGTTTCATTCATTCCTGTCCAACTCCTTGTTTGGCCGGCCAGATTTCAATCACATGGGACCCAAAAACTAGCCCAAATGGATTATGTCCCGGCATTTTTTTTCGTATAGTTTTACCCTAGATCACACAATTCCTCCTCATATATTTGTGAATTTGCTCAAATCGTCGATTCACAAATTTAGAACAAATTTAATACAAATTCGTGAATTTTAAATTTTAAATTCACAAATTAAACAATATTTTGGATCCAGTCTACAATTTCAAAAAATTTTGAACTGATTTTATTTAGCCAGTTCTTCACCGAAGCAAAAGGTTTCAATACTCTAATACTTCGTTTGGTACGATGGAAAAGTAAGAGGATAGAAAGTTAGAAGTATAAATAAAATATCATGTTTTGTAAGGAAAGAAAGTAGGATGGATGAAAAAGTGGATGAATTAATTTTTTTTCCAACTTACCAAAATCAATCCCTCCAAAATCGGAAAGAAAATAGATGAAAAGTTAATTATTTGTGTTGAGATATATCTTATTTATCTATATATCTTTTTATATATGCATATATTATGTATACATTAATTTCATATAAAAATACAACGGTAAAAAATGTATGTATATAAAAAATTAAAAAATTAAAAATTAAAAAAATAAAATTAAAAATTTGAAATTAAAAAAAAATATTTTTTTTATTTTAACTAAGGGTGAAAATTTTCAACTCAACACGATTCGAACTCGATACAAAAATAAACATGTCAACTCGCAACTCAACACGACTCAATTAGTTAAATGAGTTAAATTTGGTTTGACTAATATTCGACACAAGTCCTGTAGTGACTCAACACGAATTTGACACGATACGACTCGATTGTCATCCCTAATCTTAGCCATCAAAAAAAATAGTAATTTTTATTTTCCATCCTTCCAACCAAACGCAAAGGAAGGAAAAGTGTATCCTTCCTACTTTCCATTCTTGAATGATAGAAAGTGTATCTCTCCTACTTTTCATCCTTCATATTTTTCATCCTCCCTATCAAACGGAGCATAAGGGCGAGTTCGACAAAATTGTGGTGGTTTAAACTGATTTGGATTCTTTATCAAAACCTATCCAATGAAAACTTAATAACCCGAATAAATTGTTGGATAAAATGAAGTAGTTTTATACAATACTTGATTTTGAAAGTAATTTGTGATATTATAGGGCACATGGACAAACTGTTGGGTTTTTGATCAACTTTATTTACTTTCACATTAATTTACCCATAATTCTATCCTAACCAATCTCACGCTTGGTTTGGAATTTTTGTGGTCCACCTTAATAATTAATTGTAATTNTTTACTTTCACATTAATTTACCCATAATTCTATCCTAACCAATCTCACGCTTGGTTTGGAATTTTTGTGGTCCACCTTAATAATTAATTGTAATTTTCAGGTGTGTGACGAAGGGCAAAGACCGAATTTTATTCGGTTCCACTTTGTCCAAATTTCATAAATACGAGCACATAGTATGACAAAATATTATACTAAAATTATTTGAAAAAATAAATAACAAAAATTGAATGCACGAGTCAATATTAAATAAACATATTTCATTACCAAACGTTGCATTATACAAACATACACAAAAATAAGGTAGTGTAGTACATAAGGACACGTTACAGTTATGGTTATATTAATTGTTGCCTTAAACTATAAAAACAAAATGAAGGCACCCATATACGGTAATTAAGCTGAAGCTATATGTACGCACGCTAATCTGTGTGTCATACCAACCAAAATGGCTCATGCCAATTGCTTGGATGTTTCTTCGTATGCCCTAATCTCCACACATCACCCTCAAATGTGTATATGGCTTTTGTGTGTAGGCGAGTGTCATTCTCCCTTAGAATGATGCAAGAAATGGGGCAAACGTGTGTGGATGAACAAAAATGTGTGTGTGCACAAAAGTGCTCCCAAAGTGTAGAGAGACTTTCAAGTGTCGTGTTTTACTTGGAATTAAGTATTCCAAGGTTGTCTTCTCATGGAAGGAAGGGAATTATATTGAAGGTGATTTTGTGAAAAATAAAAAGTGTAAAATCTGTTGAATTTGAGTTTTGGTGAGTGAAGATTGACTCTAGAAATGTAATGGAAACAAGTGTTGGTTACTTCGAAGAGGTCATTCCAATGTGAATGCCCAATCAACTCAAACACATCCGTCCAATGGTGCTTAGACGTTCGATTGATTCATAGGAAGTGAGGGACTAAAATAGAGGTGAGGATTCAAGCATACCCCGTGACAAGTCTACGGTGTATAAAGAAGTCATAACCATTTTCACACTCAACCTAGTCAAACCAAACCTTTGTACACTACGAGGATGGATGAAAAAGAGTTGATTTAGTATACCCAAGAGGAATTCTCCCTTGGATTAGCCAACTTAAAATTTAGTTACTCATGTTTAATGCAAGAACATAAATGAAGTGAAGAGACATTGTAAAGAAATGAAGATTGGAACATGGATTAGTGTAAGAAAACTTAAACTATGAAGAAATGCATTTAATAACCATTTGAAAAAGCTTGAAATGAAGAAACTCAATACAACAATGGTAGAATTCAAAATGCGTAACTAAACTTGCAATGCACTTATAATAAATGACATTAAAGGTAATAAATGAAGCTTACAACTATATTTGTAGAAGATTACAAGTGAAATGGATGAAAGAAATGCAAAAATCTAAGCTTTCTTTCTCTAAAACTATCTCTTCTTCCTAGAGCTTTTCTCTTTACAATGCAATACAATCTGAATAATGCTCAATGAAACCTACAAATTCATCCATGGAGGTCCCCCTAGGCGTGTGACAGACCTCCCATCCATAGGAGGCTGAAGTGATGGCTTTGAGCAGGCTAGTATAGCCTACTTAGCAACTCCCAGGCTTCCTCCCTTCTCTCTCCTCCTCATTAATGCTTGAGCCTTCAAAGTCCAAGCCTAGGGTTGAGGAGGCATGTCTATATGTAAGGGATGTCAGAGGACAATTGAGAAATCCCTAGGTGGGACTCCCATGTGGCAGAGCTTGAGTTGTAGAATTTGGCATTTTCAACAAAACCTACCAATAGGTCGTTGGCAAAATATCCAGCAACTAATTAGGTTTGCCAGCAACTATGTATTCAATGCATCAATCAAATAATCCAAGTAGACCAGAAGACAAGCCATTTAGGAGAAATACTTGAATTATTCAATCGACATCTCTGTAGCATGCAATAGTTAAACAACTATAGTAAACCAAAAGGCAAGCCAGTTAGGAGGAATACTACAGTTATTCAACTAACAAGTTGATGATTCAATGATGATGAGATTCCAGCTTATGCATTGAATCGAAAGCAATGAGTATGCCGAAACTTAACCTGTCTATAATCAATTAATCAACTATTACATAAAGCCTAACCACGTATACCATTGTATCATGCATGAAGTACATAACTAGTAGATAGTATGCTGATTTAGGCTTTGACACTTTGCTGCCCCTAGCTTTGCACAATTTTCGCACAAAACCCTGAAAAATAACACGTTTCAAGCATTAACCCTAATTTACGCAATAAACCTAATTTCATCTACTTTGACTATTTTAACTCATTTAACTAACACAATTAACCTATTAATCTATTTCATTAATGCATTAATTAGGGTTAATAAGGGGATGTGACGATCAAAATAGACTAGTGAGACGTACCTTAGGACCAAACATGAATATAGACCAAGACCCACTTGAGGATGTCTGAGACAATTTCGGGGATGATGGAGTCAATATTCCGAGGGGTGGGGGAATGCAAAACCCCCGAGTGCCAAACCCCTTGCTTGATGTTTTATTCGTCGTATGCCCTAATCTTCAAATATCAACCTTTGATATGTGTATGGCTCATACGGATAAGTGAGTGTCGCTTTTCCTCAGAATGATGGAAGAAATGGGGTAAACGTGTGTGAAATGAACAAATGTGTGTGTGTGTGTGTGCAAAATTGCTCCCCAAGCGTAGAGACGATCTTGCAATGTCGTGTTTTACTTGAAATAAGTATCTCAAGGTCGTCTCCTCGGGGAAGGAAGGTGAGTTGTGTGCAGGTGCTTTTGTGAAACATGAAAAGTGTAAAATCTTGAGTTTTGTGTTTTGGTGTGTTTTGTTTTGAGAAATATGCAAGAAAGCAAGGTTGGCTAATCCAAATAGGTCATTTCAATGGGAATGCAAAATCAACTCAAGACATTCTTCCAATGGTGCCTAGGTGTTCGATTGATTCGTAGGAAGCGAGGGACTAAAATAGAGGTGATGATTCAAGAATACCCCATGACAAGTCTACGACATATCAAGAGTTCACAACTACATCCACACTCAACCTAGTCAAACCAAACCACCTTTCACTACAAGGAGGAATGAAAAGGAGTTAATTTAGCATACCCAAGAGGAAATCTCCCTTGGATTAGCCAACATAAAATTTAACTACTCATATTTAATGGACAGACATGCATAATGTAAAGAGACACGATAGATGAAATGGACTGAAAATATAGATGAAATGAAACTTAGAACTTGTATTAATGAGATGATAAACTACAAAAAAAAAAAATATTCATTTCATAACCAAACATAAAAGTTGCAGAGAAAATCTAGTAGAAATTATGGAAGAGCATGAACATAAGATTAAACTTGAAATAAAGAGATTACAATACAAGAAATGAAGATTACAAATGAAATATAACTTACTACAACTGAACTGGGTGAAGAAAATACAAAAATCTAAGCTTTATCTCTCTAAACTTCTTCTTCCTTGGAACTTATCTCTCTTAAAACTACTCCTAAGTAGAGGTAGCCTTCTCATCCTCCAAAGCTTGTGTGAATGCTGAATATATGGTGTAAGAATTAATGCATTTTCGTCCATGAGCATCTCCTAGCTTTTGTGGACAAACCTCCCATCCATAGGAGGTGATTTGATGCATTGAACAGGCTAGGAAGATCTTAGCTTGCACCCACCATGCCTCCATCCTTCTCTCTCCTCCTTTCCTGTCCTCCATCTTCCAAGGCTGACTTTAGG